GGGATGGAGCCGGAAACCCGGGCCTGTGTCCCGAACCAGTGACCTCTTGGTTCATGGTCGATGCTCAACCACAGAGCCGCACCGGCTGGGCACGTTCTGTATTAGTTTTAACCCTTGAACATGCGTCTTTTTACTGGCACGTGTGCCAAGACGCGAAGTATCCTAAAGCTGGGGGCTTCCCCGAATGCTTCAGGGCGTGTGCCCTGAGCCGAACTAGCCCGTGGTTCACGGGGCGCCATCTGTACTTCAAAGAAAGGCCGACAGACAAACCCCGGAGGATTTGGCAGGCATTTCCTCAAAAATGAACGAAGCGCCTGTCACTTCAAGGAAACAACCGACAACATTTGTTGCCAACCATCGCATTCTAGCTTATACGTGAAAACTGGAGTTTTGGAGAATCTGTATTTGCCAGTGCGAGCTGGATAGCTTCCAGGGAGCTCACGACTCATCAGAGCAGCTGAGAGACAAACCAGTGCGGTTTTTAAATATTTTAGGGCGGAGCGCGTAGACCCAGGCGATCTGCATCTATTGGTGGAATAATGTTTCCTACGTGGCCAGCGCGTGTGTCCTACCGTCCACACCCAGGTGCAAGAGCCGCCGGAGGCGCGAGGTAGACCAGTGCATTTTATTGTCACCAAGTATGAAAAATTCATTGCTAGGGTTTCAGATTTCACACGGCAAGTGGCCTCTCAGAAACCACTGCTGGTCGAGTCTGGATGTAGCATCAAGTGAGAGTGTCCACTGTTACCTGGCGGGGCTGCTGGAACTCCCCCGCCTCCTAGCCGCACACCCGTGTGAGGTCAGATTGTTTCACGCACTTCGGCCAGAGTAAGGAATCACCGCAGACGCAACACACGAGGGTCGTGGGCATCCAGACGTCTTCTGTTAGGCCAGACGCGCGAGAGATTCGCAAGAGCGTGAATCAGCGCCGCTCTCCTCGCTCTGTGTTGTGTTTGTTTGTTGTGGAAAGTACTTAAAAGTAAAAATACCTGCATGTTATTTACATTAACACGTAATGGACATATTGTATTTTTTTAAATATGTTTTCATTGATTTCAAAGAGAGGAAGGGGGAGGGAGAAAGAGAAACAATGAGAGAGTCATTGATCGGCTGCCTCCCGCACGCCCACAGCCCGGGCCTGTGCCCTGACCGGGAATCGAACCCTGACCTCCAGGTTCATGAGTCAACGCCCAGCCACTGAGCCACGCCAACCGGCTGGGCAGATTTACTGTCTTTTTAAATGAATTAACAAATATTTTTAAAATCACACGGTCTTTAATTTCTGATAAATACTGATAGCTGCCACCCGCATGAACCAAAGCTCGTTGGGGTCCTGAATGACTTTTAAGGGGGCAGAGGGGTCCTCGGGTCCGCTGTCATGTGACGCACCTGGGATGGACTGCACTTTGGATAATGGCACCATCCCAAACGGCAGAGGCTGTTTTCTTAAGATTTGGAATTTTTTTTCCATAAAGTTTTCCACATTTTAGTCAAGAATGTAAGTGGGTTGATTAGTTTCTCATCTGTTTTGAATTTCCTTTTAGCTTCTGTCTAAAAAGCTCGTGCTGTGGGTGCCCGCGTGACCACAGCAGGGAGCGGGGTGTCCCCGGGGGTGCTCCTGGCGTAAGGAGACCCAGGCCCCCCGAGAGCGGCCCCGCGCGTCGGTGCTGCGGGCGGTCGGCTGTGAAGCTCTCCCGTCCCACCCGGGCCCGTCCTGTTAGGGGCCCGTCCCAGCTGCAGAACGGGCTCGGGCACCGATAACTTACCAAAAGCGCGTCGCAGGTGTAGGCCACGCTGATTTTTTTCTAAGTGAGCTTTTATTTACTTATTTATTTATTTAGGTTAATGTTTTCAGTCTTTGTAACATGTTTCTTAAGCGCTGCGGTGCCCTTTCTATAATTAATACTGTAATTGTTTCTTTTCTCTCTCTTTTTCTGATTCTCACGGAAGGATGTTTTTTTTTTCCAGTGATCTTTAGAGAGAGAGAGACAGGGAGGGAGTAAGAGAGAAACACCGATGTGAGAGAGACTCTTCGATTGGTTGCCTCCCGCACTCGCCCCAGCCGGGGCCGGGGATCGAACCCGCAGCCCAGGTACATGCCCTTGACCGGGGATCAAGCCCTGGGCCCCTCGTGTGACCGCGGAGCCTCGCCGGCCAGGCTGGGGCCAGTCATTTTTAAGGTGAACTCAATTCAGATGTCGATTTGTTTTTTTTTAAAAAGGGTTTCAGTATCAAAAGCTGTTGCTTTACATTGTATACGCGAGGCTAGAAAGAGTCGCAAACTAATGGAATAGGGGAAAATAAAGAGACTGTTGACAAGGCCAGAGCAAGTCGAAGGGCAGAGGGGGCTACGGCCCAGGACCCCCGGGCTGCCTGACCCGGGACAGCCCCGAACCCTACCTGCACTCTTGCCTCCTGGGCACACGCGCCGACCGAAAAGTTTAATTTACAACTTAGGCGGAGTAGGACATTAGCAAGAACTAGCAATAAAATAGAAGAGTCATTAACAGTGAGTTGCAATGAAAGCTGTGCGAATGTGATCCCTCTCTCCCTCGCAAAACACCTGGCGGTCCCGTCCTCCCCCTTCTTGGGATGACGCGAGGCGACACCGGGCCTGCGCGATGAGACCCGTCGAGGTGGGATTTTCCCCTTTTCAGACGGCGCTTGGCCGAGAAGAACTGAAACCGTGGGGAAGGAAACTGCAGAGGAGGGGGGACTGCTGTGCTTGAATTGTTTGTATATTTTCTCTCTCAAGTAGTTTAAAGAGACCCACAGCCTTGTGTTTACACTGTCTCTGCAATAACATAAATCGAAGCCCCCCAGCAGCGGCTCTGGGGGGGAGCCGAGGAGTTTGTGGAGTTCTCAGGAGCAAGGCTGTGTGAACACCTGAAATACCGGCCCCTTGTCTTTATGAGAGTATTAAGAAGTGATCAGGTACAAAGACATTTCGCAGTGATTGTTCTTAATTAGAAAAACATTCTAGTAAAATAAAACCCTAAGTCGATGTTTCTCGAACTGCTCTGTGGGCCCGGATGGGAGGGAGGCTGAGGGCATCGCTCGTCTTCCGAGGAGGGTTTCTCACGCCTGAGCGCCCCTGTCCCTCTGCCGCCAGCCCGCGCCGGGCGTAGGGCTCGTGTGCTGGTCTCACAGTTGTCACTGCCCTGGATGGAACACGGAACCGAGGCCCCGGGACGCGTGCGACATGGGGAGGTGCTGGGTTTAAAATCAAGCCCGCAGAGGATGCTGAGTGTTCGCGGTCAGATCGCAGGCGCCCGCGATCGGGTCAGACTGTAGCTTGGCCCCTTTATATGGGATTGGGCGCTTTCCCCGGTGACTGATCCCCACGACTGATTCTGTGAAAGTAGGCGGGGCTGCTTCTGCGCCCGGTAGGCAAATGACTGGCACCCTGCGATGATGTTCGGTGGCCTTTCTCTGGGAAGTCCCAGAGCCCCCCTCCCCCGAGCCGTTACGCCTCGGAGGCTGCGAACTTTCCAGCCTGGCCGCGTGGCCGTCCCTTCTCCCCACGCTCCTCATTTTCACGGCCCTCTCAGGGGCCAGGCCCCCCCGCCCCCCGCGCAGAGCCGAGCTCCAGCCAGCCTCGGCTTCCTCAGCCCGTCAGCCTACGCCCCCCCTCCTTGGGCCCCAGCAGACCCGTGTCTCCAGCCCCCTCCCCGCTGTGCTGCGCCCTGGCTCCCATGTGGCCCCCTCTCCTGCCCCTCCACCGTGTCCTCCCAGGAAGCAGGAGCAGGAAGGTCACCCTGGAGGCCTCCGTTCCCTTTGTCCCTTCCAGCTCCCTCAGCCAGACGGTCTCTGGGCCTCGATTATATTAAGTGTCAGTAAAACCCTCCCCTCTGCTCCCATTTTCTCTCGTTTGAACTGGAGCAGTGTCCTGACTTCCATCTCCCGGTGATTCTGAACCTGCCTATGGCGGAGCCCAG